ACAAATGAAGAAGACTTGGAGAAAGTGGTGTTCTTTTGTTTATGTGTCTTAGAAGTGGTCTATAAGGACCAAATTCATTAATATAATAAAAAAATAAAATAAAAAATATATATCAACCCAAAAAATATCCTCAGTGATTTTTTTATGTTAAATGCCTTGCACATTGCTAAACTGAAAAAAAGGGGCATAGCACTTAACTTGGCATTTAAAATGAACTTTACATATGGAAATATGAGGAGTGGCCTGAGCATTTGCCTTGTTTTGTTGTGTCACTGCAGTAGTTCCAAAAATGTTGACTTGTGCTTGATTTCACTTCAGTTTAAGAAAAATCACTTTGGGTAGCAAAGGCCCTTCACCAATTAAACCTCTAGACTCGGTACAATATGTGACAAATGTAGTTGTGTGATTTCCTCCCAGCATGACTCAGTTATGAAGAGGTGAAGATCATAGTATGACTCACATAATGTTTTTCTCCATTCAATTTCCTGTTGCATTTGCATCTATAATGATACTTTTTTAAGACAATGCATATAAAACATCTATATCTGTTGCCTTCATGTGTCATCATGATGGTACCGGTGATGTTTCGTAGTAACCGCTAATAAGAGAGCGTGATTAGAATCTTGTTAGTATTTTAAATAAACCCAAATCTGGCTGCACAGGTTAAATTATTCTCCTTGAATCTTGTTCACCTGAATGGTAATGTCAAGGATTGCTGTGGGCTTTTTTCATTTAAATGGTAATGTCGTAAAATGGATTGGAATACAGACTACATGCAATCACTACACTGAATGTTTATTGAAAAACTCCATCCTGGAATTCTCCATCTCTCATCACTTCCCTTCCTCTTCACTAAAAAGGAACGAGTAACTATTTTTGTTTTGTTATTGCCATAGGTTTTAACAGTTTAAAAAATATGCATCCTCACTCTCTCCTTGTATATATTTTATGGGGGGAAAAAACGCAGTTCATCTCTTTTTCCTTGCAGCTTATATATATGGTCATGAATTACTGTACATTACAGAATTTCTTATTTCTGTTGTTACCTTTATCTCCACGAGGCTGTATGGCACTATTCTCTGCAAAGTGTCTTTGTAATAATATTTATTGTGAAAAGTGCTGTACAAATTGAATTGAAAATATTTATCTTCAAATTTTACATTCAACAGTACTCTAATATTGAAGATAATTAATTGTTAATTTAATACAAAGTAAGTAGTTTCCTATTTTCCATTTTTGACAGAATACAAACAAATTATTTAACGCCTTTATAATATCATGTTTACTGTTTTCACTCTAAATGGGTCTTTATGCACAAAATAGCTGCCTTTATATTTGATTAGTATATGGTTATTTTCAGGAGCTTGAAAACCCATGATCTAAAATGACGGGTACACTCTAAAAAATGCTGGGTTAAATTAAACCCAGTGCTGGGTAAAATAGGGACAAACCCAGCAATTGGGTTGTTTCCCAACCGCTGGGTCAAAACAACCCAATTGCTGGGTTTGTCCCTATTTTACCCAGCACTGGGTTGAATTTAACCCAACATTTTTTAGAGTGTAGGTTACTTCATCTTATAACATGCTAATTTTACAACAAACAAATAATTAATCAACAAAACGACGCTTTTCAGATAACGTTAATGTTATTTATTTCTCTGACGGATTTTGTTTGTTTTGACCAGAATACCGTTGGCAGATGATTATTAAGAGTAAGCCTCGCGAAATAATTACCGTATGTTTGAACTATGGTAGTCATTTAAATAATATAGAGGATTTGTAGAGTTTCTGAGACTGCTAGATGACTGTCGTTTTCAAAAAGTGGTCAAAATAAAGCATGATTATTTCTCTTTCGGATGCTGAGGGCGGCTGTCCGCCATTGCAGCACGACGTCAGACGAGAGAGGCGCGTGCGCCCCCTAGCGACACGTGACGCACTTACAGCACGCGCAGGGTACTGGTCCTGATGCTGCAGGATGCGGTACTGATGCAGAATATGAGCTCGCTTTACGCTGTATCATACGGCTCAGTCTCTGTGGCGCAATGGAATAGCGCGCTGGACTTCTAATCCAGAGGCTCCGGGTTCGAGTCCCGGCAGAGATGAGTAGGTAATGACGCCATCGCGGGATGATGGCTTTTTTTGATGCTTAAATAGGTCTTATGATGCTCATCCGTCACAGAGGATGCGATGTATATTACATTTTTGTGAATGAATCCACTCTTGTGCATGCCTAGCAATAAACCATTCGTTATGAGAACAATAATAAAACGTTAATTTATTATACTTTAAAAAACGGTTTGCAACCGTTACGGTATGCAACGGTTTGGTAACTTGCAATAGTATTTAGTTTTTATCCTACACTTCTAATTCGGTAAAAATAGCAGTTTTTCTTTGAAGAGATGCAGCATATTATGTAGAGGATGCAATGTACAGTATAATACCTTTTTTGTGAATGAACCCTTGAACACTTTTGGTTTGATAAGTATTATTACAATGTTGTTTCCACTGATTAATTAAAAAGAAAGTCACAGCTTTATGAAGGGAAAAAAATGCAACGGTTTGGTAACTTGCAATACACAGTATGCTTGATTTTTAAGTTTTTATCCCACATTTCGAAAACAGTAAAAATTGCCATTTTTCTTTTTAATGCATTCTTGTCCCCTTTGCCCTCTCAAATCAGTTCAGCTGTAATATACTTGACTATGGCCTTGCCAATAAAGTCTCTCTGACGTAAAGAGAATGATCCTGAATTGCACTTGGGAGAGAGAGAAAGGTGGAGAAAGAGTGAGAGCCTGCCAGAGAGATGGAGAGAGACATCAGTGTCCTATTGATTTCCCAGCGAATGGTGTGATTGGCTCTTCGCTGTCATTATGCAATAGAGATCGAGAGGAATCTCACCTCTGCACTGCCTGATCAAACTCTACAGGAAATCCTCTTCCAGGAAACCCTCCTTCATCCTGTCATGCATTTATCTGAATTGAAAGTGTGAATGTTCACTAGAGAGTTTCTCAGTCATTCATTTATCCACTTTGAGTTCATTTTCATCCTCTCATCTACCCACATGAGGCAATTTCACCAGAATCATTCCGCTTTGAAATTCTATCTACAATTTTGCCATTCATATGTGATCCTGGCTTGTTCATCTAGGCTACCTCTTTTTCTTTCCTCTCCACAGGCAATCTGAGTAAGTGAGAGGGATAGAGAGAGAGAGATGAGGGCTCATTTTAATGCAGTATTTGATTTTAGATGTTCAGCAAGTCATTAAACTGATAATTGAGACGTTCCGTTCATATTACCCCTCTCTTCCTGGGCCGGGCGGTTGGTTTCTACGCTTCTACGAAAAAGAATTGCGCAGGTCACGGACGAGCTCGCTCGACCGCGTGGACTGTCACAGCTCTGCGGAGAATGACGTCAGCGTCTCTATAAAGTGATGAAATGGGCATGGGCTCTGTTTCCAAACACTCTGTACACTGGACCGCACTTCGCAGACTGAAATAGGCTACAGTTGCCTGAATATTTTCTCAACCCGATAGGCTGAACTATTTCGGTGTGGAATGATGTAACCGAGCGCTTTCTGGGAACACCGGAGCGCTCGCAGTACAGTGTCCCGACCGGTAGCTGTAACTACGGTCTCATCCGTATCAGTGATAAAGACAAGCTGGGGTGATAACACTCCAAACATACTGTATCTTTTTATTTACCGCATAAAGAGATGAATTTTCCACTGTCTAATCTGTGTCATTGTTTATTTACTCCGTGAAATTAATAAAAGCCGACAGACTGTAGGCTGCTGCTGACATTAAACACAAGTGTGTAGTGATTTGGGCCGGAAGTGTCCCGCCCCGAGGCTCCGGTTGGCTGCTCGAGCCACCGCCACGGTGACCGAGTCGCTGCGCTCTCGGGGTATCTGCCTCTTGTGCAGTCCTCCATGTTTAACCCCGTGCGTCCCCCACACCACACAGAGAGTAATCCGCGTGCAGAACTAATCCTTAAATCCTCTCGCGAGTCGCAACGCCCTCACCTCCCTCCCTCCCTCCTCCTCTCGCGGGCCTCCCGAGCAGCCGGCGGGGTCTCCAGAGCCCGGCTCGCGCGGGGACTCTGTTCACGAGACCACACCTCGCCGCCACCAGCCCATATAAAGGGGGAACCTCACGAAAACATGGTCCTGCTGCTCACATTTGAAGTAAAGAATACATATTTTCAGAACCGTGAAGATTTATTGTGACATTATTTTCATGACAACTACGTCTTTGAAAAAAATAAACATTTATCTCAAAGACTGATTCCAGACGTTTTGTAAATCACATAGATATTCATGAATGATTTTCTTTACTGTATACCTAAATGTTATTTAATTCCGTGTAAATTATTAGAAGAGGCCTATATTTTCTTGTTTCATCCATCCATCCAGTATTCACACTTGTAGAAATTGCACATTTTAACGTGTTTTCTAAACATTAGGTAGGCCAAATTAACGAATTAAACGTATTGTTTGCACATTTACTCAACTAGAAATTAATTTCTCTTGCATTTTGAAGTTGAACTCCAAAAATACTAATAAAAATTAATTTGTAACCACAAAACAATTTTGCACTAGTCTTAATAATTATTATTCATAAATAAATTATAATTATTATTAATACATATAATAGCCTAGACAATTATGTTATTTAGCATATTTGTTTTAGTCTGTTTATTGAAAAACATTAAACAAACAAATAAATAAATAAACGGATATTATAATAAATATAAATGTTATCATAAATGTTATACGTTTCATGAGATTCCTCTAAAAACAGACTAGGCCACAAACTTTACGCACTTCTAACATAAACATAAACAACAACAACAACAACAATAATAATAATAATAATAATAATAATCTCTCTCAGGCAGTATGGTCTAGCCCTGTTATCCAAATGGTACGGCCAAATCGTATTAAAATCCCCACCCCGCTCGCCTGCTCCCTCCCTCCATCCCTCCCTCCCTCCCTCACTGCCTCCCTCCTTTTCTCCGTGCTTTCAGACAGACTGTTTTGCTGCAGTGAACGGTAGCCGTGGAGAGAGGAAAAGGCAAGAAAAACAAGAAGACAGCGGAGGGCGGAACGAGAACCAAGACAGACAGATCCATTGGGACTTTAGCGTGAGCGCCAGCAGGCATAGACGGGTCCAACACTCCAGAACCGACGGAGCCGAAGGGCATCACGAGGAGCGCTTATAACGGTGAGT